AACCCCGAGGTACTTACCTCGAGGAGTAAGCGACGGCATCTCGATGACTTGCCAAGCGACTCTGGGTTTCCCTCCGTACTCTTCGAGTTTTCCAAGGGCCAGCTCGTTTGGGACCGTCGGCGCGCTCCTCGAAGCCAAGACCCACTTGCGCCCGTCCGTCGCCAGCGGAGACCAACTCCACAGATCCTCGCTGGACTCGGCAGGAGTAAGACGTACCACGCTTTCCGGCTGCTCCAAGTCGATTAGGACAACTTCGAGCCTAGAGCCCTGGCTCGTCCGCGTGAGTAGATACGCCCGACCGCCAAACCGGACGAACGGACGTGCGAGGAGGTTCTCCACGTACAGACCTGCGAATCCGTCCATGAAGTTCTCCTGTGCCTTGTCGACGGTGGGTAAGATGGTAGTCGTCTCCTGCGCTTGCCAACCGAACCTGTGTAGTGAGAAGCAGGACGCATGGGGCCCACCGACCTCGTGGGAGAGCCAGAGCGCAGCGTTGGTGCCGGGGATGGGGCGCGGGGAACGAGAGGCGCGATTGAGGTCCGATATCTTTGTCGCTGAGATGGCTATCAGCGTAGCGGCAGGATCAGTCAGTAGCGACGGCTCCGAGTCGGCCGCATGTTGAAGTTGAAGTTCTACTGGGTCCAACTTGAGTTCCCAGATAGCAGTTGGTCTATTGAAGCAGACCCTGATTCCAAGCCGCCTTCCGTCCTCCCCGAACTCGTAGCCTGTCGCGAACAAAGTATCATCCGCGACGAACTGAGCTTGGCCAAAGGAGATAGCGGCAGCGTTGGACGTTGTCGAGCTAGTGGGTACGGATATGGCCCGTACGATTGGGGAAACGTTTCCCCCGGACAGCGCGTCGACGGACTCGGTATTCGGCGCCCACCGCACGATAAAGATCGTTGGCCGCTTCCGCCCAATGTATCCCTCGCCGTAGTCGGGCAGAAAGCGAAATTTTGCAAAGGAATCATCGCCTTCGTTCTCCGGCGCGTTCGCCTCGGCGGTGTATACCAACGATGACTCCGAGGGAGAAAACGCGAGCGTAGAGAGCTGATCTAGAGGAAAAAGAAAGTTTCGGGCGTGTTTGTGTGCCTGGGAAAGAAAATGGGGGTGGACTGGACCTCACCATCTGTGTAGAACACACCGTGTGCCTTGGTCACGTTGACGGACGCCTCTAACCTATCTCCGTCCCAAATTTCCACGAATCGTTTCTTATCGCCCGCCGAGTTCGTCTCGCGGAGGATGGCGGTCAGCTTTCCCGAAGGAGAAATCGCTGAGGCGACGACCTCAGGAGATACATCCTGGGAAGGCGATGCGATCACGGTGAACGTCCCATCGGATCTATTTGACTTTATGAAGAATGTCTTGCTCGTCGTCCTTTTGGCGTTTCGTGTGTGGTCCTGCGAAGATGATACCACTTGGACGACTAGTATCGCGTGATGCGCGCCGTTCTAGTTCATCAAGACAACCAGAAAGATGATGACCGATGCGACGCACCCTTGTCAGAAAGGAATCGCGCAGATGCGTACACGGGGATACTCGACAGGTCTGTATACCAACCCTTTGTGCTCCCGGTTGAGGTGGCCATGGTTGTTTGCGTTCAAGTTGCGGGTCGTGTGGGCAAGCTAGGGGCCTAGAGTGTGTTAAGTTACACGGCCAGAGATCTAGGCCGGGGCCTCGTTGGCGGTTGTGCTTCTGAGGCAGCCCAGAACGAGGTGAGACTCACGTTCATGGTAGGAGGCGCGTACCGATTCCGTCCGATCGTCGAGAAATTCGACGTCCCTAAGAAGCAGCGCATTCCTCCGACATCATCCCTAATAACATAGTCCTAGAGAAAGGTATATCCGAACACCGAAGGGTGTCTACGAAACGAAAAAGGGGCCGAGGCTACTCGAGCTTCCGCGATAAGGAAGAAGTGCCCAAATGCGATATCGCAAGTCACCGTCTCTCCGTTCTACCATTTTTATCCGCGGCCTTGTCCAACATTCGCAGTACATAGTGGATGTGCGAAAGGATCTCCGATTCTTTACAGAGACGCCTAATCAGATCGTCATCGATCATGGTTTACCGTGTTTATCAATTGCAATCGTCAGAACCTTCGGAAGAGCCGATGGACTCACACGATGCGCCCACGCTTCCCGAAACGGGGCTTCTGGTAGAGTGCCGTCCGGAGCGACCTCGACGCCCCATCGATTGGGGAGACTACTGTAGCCTCCAGAACGAATAATGCGATGGTTGTCGTACGACCTTCCATTCTGGGCCCCTGGGCCAGACCGCTGCGCGAGCACAGCGCTTTGACAAGCCAAGATTTGGACGACAGTCACGACACCAGAGCCAGTGACCTAGCGAGAGCAAGAATTAGTGCTGGTGTCTGTGAAGAATTCGGCGCAAGTGGTCCATGAGAAAGGTGGTGTGACGAACCTTCGAGCACTTGAACCGAATTTGACCAAGAAGAGACACTACCACACAATGAGGAGCTCCGGATCTAGCTTGTCCTGGTTGTCCATGAGGCCACGGTTATGGGTGAGGAACCCCGTCGAAGAATGGGGTGGTGATTAGAACATCGTGTACGCTGTCAAACGGGGACCTTTCTAATCAGAACGACCGAAGAGAAATCATTTGCGTCAGCGGTGTGCTTTTGGAAGTCACTGGCTGGCAGTGGCTGCCCGTGGGGTTCCTTGTCTTCCTTGGAGCTGGTCACCTGGGAAGTGCCACTGGGACAACAGGATGGCGCGTTCTCAAGCGGCGGACTGGCAAAACTTCATTATAAGCCCGCCCTCAAGGTGGCCACCCAACTCGAAGACTCGAAGAGACCTGATGCGACAAACCTGGTTTTCTAAGCAGACTACAACTAAGCTCAGGCTGGGCAGCAGCATAACCAGAACCTTGTGATTTTCGGTGTCCATAGCTCGGGTAAACAGTTATTATTCCCTGCAAATTGCGGGCGGTCTTTCATTCGACGACTCGCTGGCACTCACCCTTCGAGTCTCCATTCTTCGCCAGTGTATTGTGTTCGTATAAAAACTCATATGCTTTCATTGCTTTGATCACCCTTTCAACCTCCTTCGAAAGTGCCTGGCCCGTGAAAGGGCCGAAGAATCCTAGGTAGCTTGAGAGACAGCAATGCCACTCGGAGGGCCAACCTTCAGGTTCTAACGATACTTGTGATCAAAGCACTTTGAGACGACAAGGAGTTAGCCTATTGCCCACGTGTCAATAAGCCAAGTTGTGTAATGTGGAGTAAAGCAAAGACGGGATCAGCTCAAGTTTACAAGTCCCAGGACTCGGAGACCGATGGCGGGGACGAGGTCACCGCAGGATCTCATATGCGTCACCAGACAACCGGCGTCGCACCACATTTGGCCCCGACCGACTCAAACCCACATGGGCCATTGTGATGCGCCTTGAGTAATATCACACAGGGTTGAGTATATAAATGAACAGTGGATTAGAGGTGTAAGTACGAATGCATTATACAAGAAGCCGACCCGAGTCCGTGGCCAGCACAGCTTACGCGCAACTTACGCCGAGCTCTGGAAAGTCGTATGTACCCGGAATGGCATTCTCGCACCCAGAGCGATCTCGGTGAGAATTGCAGTTGATCTGGTCATTCGGCGTGCTACAACAGCGTAGGCAGAAGCGATTCAACGCGGGCTCAACGCTGGGTCCGAGTCATCGGTCAGTACACAACTTATCTTGGAGGGATAAAACCGAGGGACAACGCACAGCTCAATAAAGCTCGCCCGCCGCCCTCCGAAGGTACACTGAGCCCCATTCGGGTAGCGCACGTCAAATTGTCCACCGGCATCGTTAGGATCCAACTGAAACTTTGTCGAATCGATACAACCAGTGACCTAAAGAGAATTCATTAAAGCCCAACACGCCTAGAGACATTTACAAAAGTTACCTGGATCCACGAATTGTCATTTGCGCTCGTGAGCGCGGCGGCAGTGATGAAACCGTCAGGCATCCTATTCGTGCAGAGATCGCTAGAACCATTAGGAGTACAAAACGACTTCGCGTCCCTTTCTGCGTCAGATACCAGCTCTATGATAATAAAAGGTTTGATCGTGGCCCAACACCGTGACCAATACGAACTCGAACATACCGCCGGACATTGCAGGGAGTAGAAGCGCAAAGTCATTTTCACCTGTAATGAAGACTGTTGTCTCAATCGAGGACTCCCCAGTCGGCTCTGGTGTCGGCCTCGTGTCCAGGTCCTGTTGCATAATGCCAGAGGCCTCTTGGCGGGGTTTCAGCGCACCCGCCCGGAACATAGACCGCCAAGTACGAGAAGGCGCAATACCTGCGTTTTTAGAGAAGCGAGAGGCAGAAGTAGGGATGTATTTTGGAGGTCTGGTTGGGGAGGAACGAGCGTATGGATAAAGCGGGTTCGGACGAAGACTGTATGGGTCGGACCAGTGATTACGAATGCCAGTGAGAGCGACACCATGAACGAAGCTTGCCAAAAGTAGTACAATAGCTGGAGAAGAACGCATGAAGAATAGTCGCCCAGCGACTAAGTACGGTTGGATGAGGGTGTTATAGATGTAGGGTAAGAAAGATGTTAAAGGGGAAGCGAGACACGAAATGATCGCATCCAAACATTCCTCCAAGAGGCATCCATCCACTTTGTCATGTTCGTCGTGTAATACATCGTATGTGATGTCATATGATGCACACACTGAGGCTCACAGGCAACCGCAATCATGTAAATCCGAGCAGAATCAGTACGGCATGAAGGAACGAAGTACAGGTAAAGCAAAAGGAACCTGTAATTAGGCTGTAAACGACCCAGTGCGGAGTGCGGAGAAGAATTTTTTAGAGTGATAACGCCAGATAGGTGTCCTTGGTTGCGACTCTTGCGAGTTTACTTGACAACTGGCAGTGGTGCCCGGCGGACTAGAGAAACCTACGCAGATCGCGAATGAGGAGGGAAACCCCATCGTTTGCCGTAAGGCTTAACGGCTCATAATGTTGAGTGTGACAACATGAAGGAGTCCCGTTTAGCTCAGTTGGTAGAGCGCGTCACTAGTAACGTGATTTCGAAAATCACACGTGACCTTGAAAGTCACATTGCGACATGACGAGGTCAGTCGTTCGAGTCGGCTAATGGGAATTTTTGCCCTCCAAAGATTTTTGGACCGCAGTTGGCCAATAAGAAAGATAAAGAAAAAAGCAGTTAAATTGCATTGTCCATTGGTAATAATACACTACGCCCCCGCATCAGGTGGATGCCTTTGATGGGACGGCCGTTTTACGCAGGAGGCCGAGAACGAAGGTGACAGGCTACAGAAATAGTAAAAATACAAGCGAGGTACGACGGTAATAATAGAGGAAGGTGTCCATGATGTATTCAGGTTACGGTCGGCCAGCAGCCCTGCGATAAGCGTTCGTTCGTCGTGTCCGTGGTATACATAACGTCCACAAGGTCCATTGCGAGTCCAGTTCTACATCTTAAGTCTTACTCTTAATTATAAGAACTCACGTTCTCGTACACGCTGGATGCTTGATGATTTAGATGAAGCACACGTGCCAAACATCTGCGCCGTTTGCAGCGCGCTGCAGACCGGCAAAAGTTGTGCGGCCGCCGAGGAGATCAAAGCGTCTGAGGCCGGCAGGGTCGGGCATGGCTCTGTTGCGCTGGTTAAAACTTGATGAAGCCGCCCGTTTGTGATTCTCAGTCGGAAGCTGGTTATAGTCGGCCTGGCTGGCCCGCTCAGACAGTTTCACGTGGAGGGCTTGGAGAACCTCGCGCACGGTCACGGCATGACCGTCGCCGCGCGTGCTCGAGGCATAGAAGTGGCCCCCCGAGATACCGGGGATGTCAAGGAGGAGGTGGGTTGCGCGTGTCGAGATGGCGGGCTCGTTCATTGCGTTGGGGTTGCAGGATGGATGGAGGCACGCCGTTGATGGGGGTTGGACAGCGTTGAAGTTCAATTTTGCTGGCGGCCTGTGGCCGATGTAGACCAGTAACTCGCTCAATACAGCATACCTGCTGGGACGCTCGGGGCTTACAGGCGGTGTGGGCAGAGAGTCTGGAAAAAGGGAAGCAGGTCAGTTGTTGAAGAAAGATAAGATGGGAATGGGGAGTGGTGGGGAGGAATGGATATGCGCACGTTGTTGACGATGGAGAAGTTGGGGTAAAGGGACAGTGCCCATATGCGGCGCACCAGGCGTCGAAGGCATATGAGACGCATACGCGTACGCGTGCCCGTGCCCCGAATGCGTCGAGACCGATCTAGCAGACCCTGGGGGGGACGGTAGACTCACCGGGCTCATGACCGGGGTCACGGGCGGCCCACCGCTGCCCGAGGCGGTGGTGCCCGTAAGCGTGTTCAACGACCACGTGGGACTAGACACGAATGAATTCGGATGGTGCTTCGAAGAGTGAGAAGTGGGCATCGCAACGAATGAGTCAACGCGTCTTTAGTCGCGGGAGAAGAGGCGTCGGCGGGAGAAGGAAGGGGATGGTGTGTTGGGCAATGGAATGACTCGGGGCGACGCGTCGCATATTTATATGTACGCTGCACGCCATGCACGGGATCGTCCCGCCCATGTTCGTTGATTGATCCCGATGGGTCGGGACGGCGCAGGGTAGGGCAGAGGGGAACGAAGGAAGCGAGTGGCGGGCGTCGGGTGTTGGGCGTCGGGTGTTGGGCGGCGGGCGTTGGGCGTCGGGTCTGTCACTTATCGGTCCAATGAGAACGAATCAAGGAGGTCTAGAAGCGCCCCTTGAATGATCCGAGAGCGTGGGAATACCGACATTCCGCGGAATTCGTCCTCATAAAGAAGGGGCGGGTACCACGTGTCGCGCGTGTGTCCCGCGGAATGTCCAAATTAGTCGGAGTGCACCCCTTTGCATCAACCCTTGTCCCTTTGCCCATATTACAATCCGAGTCGGTCGGCATCGGAGATCCGGGTGGGTTAACTTATGACTCCAAGTTGTTTGTACTAGTTGCCATATTCGGCTGAGTAGGAACGGAGGCTGTGAGTTGCGCGAACGAATACAAATAAGTCTACAAGGTCTTGACTGCCCCGATCAACGAAGGTATTGTATTGTAATAGGGTAGAGTCAGTATTACTAGCGAGCGATACGTATCAAGTACAATAGTAGGTTGTAATAAATGGACCAACAAAGACGCGAGCAAGGATTGATTGACCGTGTCTACAGGACTACTCCAATTTCAGTCGTCTCATCTCACGTTGTATGACCTCCGCCCATTCGCTCGTTTGCTCATCCGGCTCTGGTGGCGCAGCCTCATACTTGCTACGTCTCCGCGCGCGCGGACGACCACCACTACCGACATCACCCGCAAAACCGACGCCAGATGCCTGCCGTGCAAGGTACTTGACCTCCGCAAATGAATTAGTAGCCTGCGCTCTCAACCACGTCGTACTTTCCGCGCGATGTCGCAAGCAATCCGGGGGTATGTACCCAACAAGGGGGTCCCACCTCCGCTCTGAACCCTCCGCATCCTCCACTGGCTCTTGCATCGGGCGGACGTCCGCCCATAAGGTGCCCCCCGTACGTGCTAGTACCTGCTCGATGTTGAGCGATTCACCAGGCGGAATGGGCTTCGGCTGTGAAGGTGTGACACACGGCATATCCGTTTCCTTGCGCAGAACCGAATCGACGTCCACCGCCGAGAAAAATGCGACGCCCTGTGGGAGATCGTCCATTCCAAGGCGATACGCGAACAAACACCGCGTCCATAAGTTCGCGATCTGTAGCGCAAGCGCGGCGCGATACCGATCCCGCTCGGCGACGAGATAGCGCAGTTCGTCGTGTACGGAGATGAGGTACCGCGCTTCGATGTCGTATGTCCTTATGAGATGTTCCATCGAGACGATGAGCAAGTGTAGATAGTCCACACCAGAAGATTGCACGACCCAGTTGATGCGTGAAGTCATATAGTCCGAGCCGAACTGGGCGGGGAGGTACTTCTTCGAGAGGGCCTGCGTGATGCCGCACCCGAGGGCGGGCGTAGTCGGCTGTTCTGAGAGCGCGATCTCTTCAAGTTTGTTAAACACGAAGCTCTCCGTCCCGCCAAACCAGAACTTGCGCCCGAACACATCAGTCCGTTGCGTGTTCTTTCCCTTGGTTGAGGCGTACAATTGTTCCGCGAGCCGCTTCGCCTGCTCGGGGAGCATATCCGCATTTGCTTGAAGTAAGAGTTGCACCGCGTGGCGCATACCCGCGCCATATATGCGTGAGTAGTTAAAGACTTTGGCCTGGTCGCGCGAGAGACCCAGTATATGCGCTGTCTTGGAATGCAGGTCCGTTCCCGCTACTTTACTACCCTCGAGTGTCATCCACCCGAGCGCCGTCGCGCCATGCAGTCCAAATTGTGCGTCCCCCATCGCGCTCGAGATCCAAAGCTCCTCCGAATCAACGTCCGCGCCGACAATGGCGTATCCCGGAGGCGCGCGTACCATTGCCTTCAGCTCCGAGCCAACGCGTTTCTCCTTCGCGTTGCTCGCCGTGAGCCACGTACGCTCTATCGCACGTCGTGTAACTGTGCCCATCGTTATCACTTGTGGGAGGATGATGCCCGCTTTGCTACCCGGGTTACCGCCAACGGCCATGCCCATATCGAGCCCTTTCCGCTGCCACACGACCATTTGCTTCAGCACGCGGTCGCGGGCGCTGATCCAGTAGCTGCACTGTGCGTTCATATCGAGAGCACCACGCGCATCGTCTCCCGGGCTCGTAAGCGTTCCGTCCTGCGAGTATTTGACGAACATCTTGGCGAGTGGGTTGCCAACGTTTGCGGCCTCACCATCCTTGTGTGGCAGCTTGTAAAACACAAAGCCCTCATGTAATGACACAGCTTGCAATGCCTCATCAGCCGGGTGGTGGAAGTCTAGCGGTGTCTGGCGCGTCGTGTAGGTCGTGCCTGGCGCTACGCGATATGTCCACCCGTGTTCGCGGGAGTGGAAGAGAGGCCAACCTTGCCAGGACAGCCGAAGTAACAGAGGCGCTATGCGAGTACGAGATGTGATGTCAATGGTTCCGGGCGGGAGATCCTTCTTCGGCTTTGCAAGTTCCCAATACCATTTGGGCCAGAGCACCTGAGGCGACTTAGATGAACCTGCTGGCGTCTTCTCCACTGGCATCCAGTCGAGCTGTCCGAGCCAAGGGTTGTCCAAGGGTACAGGGGAATGTGAACGTGATAAGTCTTCGGCGAGGCAAAGAATCATTTTGAACACTTTCTCCGACCGATCTCCACTGGCTATGGACAAAGCTAACTCGTGATTGTCGGTAGTCATAGAGCCAGACTGAAGCATTAGGAGTCCATTCGACTTTCCGAGGAGGCCGAGGACCTTCGCTTTCCCAGGAGCGGGTGGACGAACAACTTGACCATCAATCACGAGATGCCATTTCTCTGCAATGGAGTACCTGGGACAATGTCCGTCGAAGGAAAGTTTGAGGAGAAGAGGAAGGGTACGATTGACAACTCTTGTGCTGAAGGGGCCAAGGCATAATAGTTCCTGGTACCACGCAGGAACCTGCGCAACCTTTGACACCAGTCAGCGCAACCCAATGGAAAGAAGAAACAAAAGAAACCCACGGCTTCTGAGATACCAATACCCCTAGACTTGCCTGCAACCTTTGGTGTCCAGTCCAATTGCTGTAGCCAGACATCGTCCTTCCATTTCTCGTTCTCCATCGCGTTTCTGGCCTCGATCGCGAGATTCACGAGTCGCGTCTTCACGCCCTCTTCCAAACTGCGATAAGTCCGCTCCGCGTCCTCCAAGTATTTCTCCCATCCCTCGTTCACCGTAAGGAAGCTCGAGCCCATCGTCAGCATGCCGGAAAACGACACCGGTGTAGGGCACGATTCGAGAAATTCGGGAAGCACAGCGGCATAGACGCGATGCGTAACCGACACATCGTTCGCGCAATAGTTGAGGTAGTCCTGGATATTCTCTAGAATCTCTGCCGGTTTGCATTCCATAAAATCATTGCGAGCCTCTTTGTTCATGTCGATGCCGCAGTGGAGGCGCGCCACGTCCGCGAGGGAATTGGCCGATGTGATGTCCTCCCAGGTCTTGCTCTCGGCTTCCTCGCGCGCGTCTTCACTTTGAGCGGTGTTGATCAATAGGCTCTCCTCA